CCTACCAGTTTGCTCACATGGTTTCCTAATCTCTTACCAATTTTTCCTAGTTCTTGCTGTTTTCACTTCTGGGCCTGACCTTCTTCATAGGAGCATAAATCCAACAAATTTTCTCTTTATATTCTCCTTCCTCCCAGTTGGACTCTCTATTCTGTGTTCCTGTGGAAGTTCTGTTGCATGTTGCTTGTGTTTCAGTGGGAAAAAAAGCTTTTTTAAAAAAATAAAGGTAATGTGACTTGGGGATGAAGGACTTGTTTTGTATGTAAAAGAGGCTGCCATGTCCTCGAGCAGCCACTTGCAATCTAGCTTTGATTCTGTAGAATTGGACTAAAGAAGCTGTGTGGAGCCACTCTGTGGAGATGAGAAATAATTTGCCCAGTTCTAGGTGATTGCTTTTGAGGGCATTTAGAAAACAAGCATTTTGACATTTTTAGCTTCCAAATAAGAAGTTCTTCCATGATCAGTAGGTATTTCAAGGTATTTTTTAATTTTTTTTTTTCATCCGCTCTTCAGTAGTTTACCGTAACACGAAGGTTCTGTGCATTATTACAGGGTCTAAAGCTTATCTGATGGAGGGATTAACCTCCACCAAGTTACAGGTACCTACTGTAAAGAGTGAAGGGCCCAACTGCTTAAAAAAAAACCCAGTTAACATACCTGAGCAGATCTGGAGAATGCATGGAGATGTGTCTTAACTGTGACAAATGCAAAGTTAATTTAAGTTGGGTTGCATATTTGTGCCACTGAAATGCCACACTAAAACTATTCCAGCCAAGTGGATCCTGGTTTTATAAATGAAGTGTTAGGTTCATGATGTTGTATGTGAAGTACCCTGAAGAGGATGGAACTGCTTATATATCTTGTCTGCTACCTCTTTAGAAAATACAAAATTGCTGTGTGCAAAAGCAGACCGAACAGACGTGTGATTGGAGAAATATTAATTTAAGGAGCTTGAGGTAGTCAAGCCTGGCAGTACCGGCAGGGTTCCTCTGTACATAACTAGAGTTCAGATGCATGCTTCAGTAGTTTACTGTTAGAAACCCAAGATTTTTTTAAATGCAACACTTGATTACGGAAGTCCTTTCTCATCGATGAAGAACAATGTATTTTGTCTTTGTTCTGCTTAATTTGAAAGGAAGAATGAGTGTGAAATGCAAGGTGTAAAACTATGTCTATCCAGATCTGAAAGTGTGAATTTGAGTTTTGCTTTAGGGTTGTCCTTCTGCAGTGGTGTTCAGTTGATTTGGCATGTATTTTATTTTTTTTTTAAGGTTTCCTAAATAAAACAACATAATGTTTTTACTTACAGCACTTGAAGAATCGGAAAGTGACATTTATGTGCGATTCATGAGGTCACACAAGTGTTATGACATTGTTCCAACAAGCTCTAAGCTTGTTGTTTTCGACACTACGCTACAAGTGAGTATTCTCCTTTCAGTCTGCCTTTGCTTGCAGTTCATTTTGATTTTTTTTTTTTTTAAATGAGTGTTTCCTGAGTATTCAATGAAATTTGATCTCTTGAAGAGGAGTTCTGCCTTAATGCTGTGCTTTGGCTGTACCAAACCATACTGTTTCAACTGTATCTTTCATGTTACATTAGAGGAGGAGCTGGGGGAAAATATCCCAGCAGAACAGAAAGAGAGGAACAAATTATTTGTTTTGCAGTTGGAATCGCTATCTAAAAAACTTTCAGACAAGCCCAAATTTATATTGGCTTCTTCATGGCTGTCAGAATTTACATAAAAATGTTTTGTGTAAAGATCTTGTACAATAGCTGAAGAGTATCCAGGTGTTTTGGGCCTCCTCCTGCTATATTGGTAAGACACTTCAGGACTGAAATGGATGGCTTCATTATGCCAATTACTACCTCCTCCAGAAAATTTGTGTTTTCAGTTTCTCATTTTGCTTTTAATCAGTAAATCATCTGCTAGACTCTTGGCTTTGTCTGAAGAGGACTTTTTTTGCCAAAAGAAGGCATTAGCTGCCTCCTATAGAACCAGACAACTGCTCTGCAGCATGGTAGAAAGCTGTGGCTTTCTTTGTTTCCTGCATTTTGCAATTGGTGTGTTTTGGCTTGCTCTGGCTTTTGTTTCGGTGTGGTTTTCCTTTGAAAGGAGCTCCAATTCTGACTTAACTAAGCCCATTAAGTAATTTTGGTCTGGAATGTACTGCTCAATTAGACTTCAGCTTTCCACAGTCTGAGGCAACCATGTAATAGGTACTTAGTCCCAAAATGTTCACTGGACTGTCTTGTGTGTCAGATAATCGTGTGTAATGCCAGATTGAGTGCTCTGGTCTAAAAGGTGGAAAGCTTGCAGTGCACAACAAGTCAAAGTAATGTGGATCAAGAGCTCTGTGCATGTATTAGTCAATTTGTACAACAACCAACAGTGTCCTTCTTGAGTTCTGCAGCAGGGCTGACAAAAAGGGGCTAAAACCGCTGGAGCTTCATTTGCTGCTCAGTACAAAAAAAAGCAATTTTGTAACTTCAGCACTGGGCTTAGATTATCCAGGTATCTTGGTAGTCAGGGAGTTTCCTTCATCTCTTGACTCTATCTAGACTCTGAACACACAGGTTTCAGTGCGTTGCCTCTGATACCTTTAAGGACTCAGCCAAGGTAAGTATCCTCTCCAGTACTTAGTGTTACATTAAAACTTGAGTAGGGCTGTGGTTAAGATTCTGCCCGTGTGCCAAAGAACCTCTTGCTTCTAACTGATTTGGTAGCCGTGGTGGCAATGCTGAACTAACAATTGGTCACCAATGTCTCATGTCAGATTTTCTCCTTTACCGATAAAGCCAGGCTTCTACTGGGAACTTACTACCCTTAAGTACTTTGCTATCAGTGGATCAGTCCATTGATTAGAGATGGAAAAAGGAAGTCTTAGAGGAGGAGCTTTCAAGCACAGTCATCAGTCCTACAGAGTTTAAATGTTCATTGTTGATTTTCTTTGTTTATTCTGCTTCTTGACAGTTTTGATACAGTCTCCCAACTGTATTTGCTATTCCATTTCACCAGTCACATGGACTCTGATTGTGCAAGCACTGTAAGCTCTAATGAAGAGTAGGTATAACGCCAGTGATACTTTTTGCCACATTTCTTTTCAGAGATTTCTTTCTCTGTCTCTCAGGCTTCTTTGGGAGATTGATTGTGTGGACTTCTTCACACTCTTAAGAGGGAAAAAGTTCTGCAATTTTTCCTTTTTTCTGCCCAGAAGAGAGAATGAATGTCAACTCTGGACTAAAGAATTCAGACATATTTGATCTGAAAGGTCAATTTTGGGATATGTTTACTGTCACTCTTCTCAAAGGCTATTAGCTTCCTTTTGATTCCAGGAGATATTAATTCTCACTATTGAGATGATAGTCTGTTGGGAGCTGGTACCTGACCCACAACCTGTTGAGTTCTCAGCTGTCAGTGGTAACCAGGGTCAAGGGCTTGAGCTCAGTCACTGTTGCAACTGGAAAGATGAATTTTCTTTCTTTCATGAACCAGTTAATCTTGGACAGGTCACCCATTCCTTTTGGATTCTCTTAATCTGTTAAATCATGGAATCATAGAATGGCCTAAGCTGGAAGGGACCTTAGAGATCATTTTAATCCAGCCTCCCTGCCGCCAGGGACACCACCTCTCGTCCAGATCAGGCAACACATGGGGACCGAACGGGAATCAAACCCGTGACCTTAGTGTTGTTAGCGCCACGCTTAACTGACTGAGTTAACCGGCCCCCTAAGGATTACAGAAAATCATGGCAGATAGTAGTTTCCGTTGCTGGAGTTGTGTTGAGATAGTGCTATTAATGTAAAGTTAGAGTTTCATCTCCAGTTGGTGAGCCAGTATGAGAGAGTTCTTGAAGAAGCAGAGTGTAAGTGAATGAGTCCTGTGAATTTTCATCATAAAGGAAAATGAGTAATTTAATGGTAATGGGAAAATTGTGACCAACACTCCAACAGAATTCCTCTTTTTTCTGGGGGAGGGAATCCCTAACAATGGTGATGAATTACAGCTGGAGAAGAACAAGGCGTGCCTTGATCCGATCATGGAGTCGTATTCTTAGTCTGCTTCTCCAGGTATTTGAATGAGTGGTGGTGGTAGAAGGGGAGCCTGTAGTTACTCACCAGGCTTTGGTGTATGACAAATGGGAACCATATCTTGAACTTGGATTGCTGGTGAGGAGCTTCCCTCCCCCGGCAAACTGCAATTTTTGGACTTTGCACCATTACACTTAATCCCAGTTACTTTTTCTTTTTAAAATCATCATACTGTTGTAAAGCAGTAGTCCTTTTCCAGCATTGGTGCTGTGTTCCAACTTTGCAGGTTCTGTAAAACTCGTTAATTACAGGGTCATCTAAGACAACATTAAACAGATGGATCTGAATGCTTGTCCCGAGATACCCTGCTAGGAGTTCTTCTAAATACTTCCCTTCGGTATTTCCCTTTGTAGCTCTTTACATAGCACCTTGCAGTAGTGTTCCACTTCAGTATTAAGACACAAATTTCTTCAGCTTGATCAGTAAGGCTGATGCACATACATGTGTCTGGAATATAAAAGAATAGGGTTTTGGGTTTGGGTGGGGTTTTTTTGTTGTTGTTGCGTTTTGTTGTTTTGTTTTTTTTGTTAAAACAGCTGAACAAGCACACAGTAGAGGATGTATCTAATAGGGTAGTCAAACAAAAACTTGTAAATTGTTCTTTGTGTTTTAACTTTTAATATGTAATTTCTTGTTTTCCAGCACTTTAGGGCTTTGTATCAGTTATTTTGAAAACATAGTACATAGCTTTGCAAAACATCCAGTGATCAGGAATCCTCTCAAACTGGGAGGATTTTGCAGATATTTGTCTTCCCTGTATCCTACCCACATCAGTGTTTCTCCTAATCTGAAAAAAAAACCCCAAACAACCCCACACCAAAAAAACCAAACCAAACCAAAAAGCCTAGTGCCTTGAAAAAGTTCTTCAAAGATTTGAATTCAGGTTTTCAATAATGCTAGAGCTAAAACAGAATATATACGGACTCACTCTTTACTTTTCTTAGTATAAGCTAGTAGCAATCAACGGAAGAAAAAAATGGAGCTGTGTTGTGTTCTCATGGCATCCCTTCGAAAGATTCTGCCCTTGGATTTCTATTTGGCTGCAGCATCCCATCTCCCTCTACTGGTCAGCATTCACAGCATGTCTCGTATTTCTACTCTGGAAGGTTACCGAGATGCTGTGGAAGGTATTCTAAAACTGTTGTTAGTTGTGGGAAAACAGGAGATGTTAACTTACATAATGTGGCACAAATCATACTGCTGAATAACATCTCTTCATAAAAGTAAGTGTTTAGTGTCAATGTCTTTGAGGGATTTAGTGGAAAGATTTGTAAGGAATTTGTTTTAAGCCTGAATAAGGGAGGAGACGATACGGTGCCTATGTTGGAAACGCAAAGAAGGCTTTAAATAACGGAAATAGTAGCTAATAAAAAGTAGGAATTGGCTGACAGTCTCTTCAGTCCTCATTATTTGCTGGTGAGAAGGCGTGGGGGCCTCAATTGCAACAGCTGCCAAATATGTTGCTGCTTCTAGTGCTAGCGCACTGGTCTGGTCTTGTGTGTGAAGAATTCAGCCGTGCAACTGGCACCTGCCCTTGGCTGTTGTGTGGGCGGTGGCGCATCTCCTGCGCTCCCATGAGGCATCGGGTCGTATGTTAAGGGGGAGCTGTGCTGTGCTTCAGGTAGGAAATGTGCCACTTGGCACAGACTGAGCAACATCTATACTAAATAAATAAATTGCATTGAGCCAAGGTCTGTTTACCTGCCTGAGGCCAAGAGGCACAGCTCAGTTTGCCTTAGTATAGCTTAGCTTGTATCTCCCTCAAATCAGAGGATCTGCATCAAGTCTGCCCACCTGAAACGGTCCCTTGCTTGTACTGAACCCTGAGAGATGGCTGATATTGTTTGGGGGAGTGCTAGCTGGCACAGGTCTCTCAATTTAGACTGACAGTAAGACTGTTCTTTCACCCATTTAGTGTATTAATACAGATGTGGCCTGTGAGTATTTGCTCCTCATAAATATTTATAGAATCATATTGAACTCCGCTACAGTGCTGTGGTTTTCCTCTGCCTGTGACCCCTGGATACTCCTTGTTGGGACAAGCTTCAGCCTCTTGCTTTTCCCAGAGAAGATGTTATCTTTGCTTGACACACAGTAAAGAAACTTTTAAAAGTCTGATTTAACCAGGAGTCCAAGAGACAATTAGATTGTTGTGAGCTCTCCTGTGGAGTTTTCAAATTTGACTGCGTGGATGGTGGGGAAACTGGGTGAGTTGGACCAGTGTGCAGTTCACGAGGTATAAGCTGCCTTTCTAAACTCTTGCACATCTCCTGAGATGCAAACAAGAGGAGGGTTCCCAGCCCCTTCTGGTTGTCTCCCGAAGGGCCAC